CTAATTTTCCGCTTAGTTTGCACAAGGCTCTTTTAGTGCATACGTGGCGCTATATATATTACACACAAATATGATTTTACATTGGAATTTAGTTTTAATTAAAAATATTACAAAATTAGGTTCATCCTAGTTCCTACTTATAAATTTAATATGTAATTAATTAATTATTATTTACGCGGCTGGAGAATCCGGCCGGAATGCAGCTGGCCATTTACGCGGCGGCGATCCCGCATTTAGAAATGAGGGATTTGCCGCCGAAAAAGAGAATCTTTGTGGTTGTTCGGGAGGAAGAAAGGGTGGAGGTGGAGGAAAGGGTGGTGGTGGAGGAAAGGGTGGTGGAGGAAAGGGTGGAGGAGGAGGAAAGGGTGGTGGAGGAAAGGGTGGTGGAGGAGGAAAGGGTGGAGGAGGAAAGGGAGGTGGAGGAAAGGGTGGAGGAGGAGGGTTTCGTATTAGGGTTTGTGTTTCTTTACGTTTTCTGAATTTGAGAAATTAAATATAAAGATGCTTTGTTATATATTATTAATTGCTTCGGTTATTATTAAATGTTGGAAGAAAAAGGATTATCTTGAATTAATTAGGATGCAACTACTTTTGTGAGTTACTGATTTTTTTTTATATAATTTTAGTTAAATATAAATCTCCTAAAAAAAGTTGGAAACGAAAAGTTTATGTAATATATTGGTTATATTTTCACCTATTTAATAATGAAAATACTTAATTCCGTACATTTTGTCGATAGTGTGATTGTACTATAGTTTATTTATATCGGTTGGATTATGCTTCGTCGATTAACTAAAAGACTCGAGTAATTAAAGTTTTAGATAATTCCGTACACTTTGTCGGTAGCGGTAGTACTATAATTTTGTGGATATCACTTTGATTACGCTTTGTTGTTACAAATTAAATTACGTTCGATTAATTCCGTACATTTTGTCGGTAGTGTGATTGTACAATAGTTTTTTTTATAGCTATTGGATTATGCTCTGTCGATATACTAAAAGACTCGAGTAATTAATTAAAGTCTGAGATAATTCCGTACATTTTGTCGGTAGCGACTGTACGGCTGTTTTTCGATTGCGCTTTGATTACACTCTGTCGTTACTTGATTAATTGAACTTCGAAATAATTCAGTGCATTTTGTTGGTATTGCGATTGTACTATAGTTTATCCATAGCGATTGGATTATGATCATTTACCGATTAAAGAAAAAGACCTGTAATTAATTAAAGTCTGAAATAATTCCGTACATTTGGTCAGTACATAACTGACTGTACTGTAGTCATTCTATGTATAGCGCTTTGATTACACTTTGTCGTTATCAATTAGATTACACTAGAATAATCAAAGTCTAAGATAATTCCGTACATTTTGTCAATAGCGAATACACTATATAAAGTTTGTCTATGGTACGTGGATTATGCTTTGTCGTTAGCAATTAAATCACATATCATTTAAATTTCATGAATCATTTTCAAGACTCCAAATAGTTTATTAAGTTCTGAGATAATTCCGTACATTCTGTCGATAGTGACCGTGCTACATTTGGTATATAGTAGCTCGAATAATTACATTTTTAGCCACACTTTTAAACATTATTTTGTATTCTCACATATATATACATGTATAATTTGATGCCCAAGTGTACACTCCACACAATTGAACATGAAAAGTAGTAGACAAATAGTGTAATAAATTCTCTTTTGGAGATAAGAATGGAGCTATATTTCATCGCTAATGCAATTAATTTCCTTCTTATCCTAAATTAGTTAGAAGATGATGTTTATCTCTCTCATTTGTCCTTAATATATTCAAAAGTCCTTGAATTCTTGTAAAGGATTTGAATATTGCTCAAAAAAAAAAAATCAATATTTTATCATATACATACAACGTAAATAAGTATTTTAGTAACATAAAACTAAAAATAAGCCTAACTAGATTTAATAAACAATCATTTTTTAAACAAAACGAGTAGAAAAATATTGTGATAAATCGAAAAATAAAAAGATGTCTTTTGTTTAACAATTTAAAAGTTCAGATAATTTTGTTTATAAAAATAGAAAATAGTGACAGATTAAACAAACTACAAATGATCATATTTTTCTTGCTAAATGATTTACAGCAACGAAATAAAAAAGAGTCATATTGCATGAAAATGAAAAATGCTCACAATTATTACAACATTGATAGAATCAATAAAAGCTGATTCTCAATACAGCATATGCAAACCCTAATTTATAATGTTAAATTCCTGACTAAACACTATGCCAACTTTTTCTGGACAATTTACATCCCAATCATATTTTGAACATAATACAGACATACACAAACCAGCAATTTGTGTGTGTTTAACGAATATATACAAGTTTAATATATATATGTATTTTTCGAAATTATACACGAGGCTATTAATATTAACAGTGGCATAAATTACAGTTCCATGGCCATCAGTATCCTCTGGTCTTTCCTAAGTGGAAACGAAGCCGCCTCGACAACCTGCACCGGTTAAAGGATAATGTATATTATATAAAGCTGAATTCACGCACACCAACGCAGATTATTAAAAAAAAAGAAGAAAAAAAACTCGAAAAGGCGACAAATTAAGAATGTTTTAAATACACGAGAGTCCAACTTGGAAGCCACTAAAATGTTTCTTTTCGTGCACCATTTCATGGATTGACTTCTCAATCAATTGGTCAACAGACCTTGCTTTCGAACCCAATTAATTACCATACCAATATTATACGAGCAATTCGAAACAATACAAGGGGAAAACGTCATTATATCTATATGCCTTTTATTGCTGAAAAAAACAGAGAACAGAAATTAACCTTAAAGCCAGTTTTTTTGTACAGATCCTGGGCAGGATTATTGTCTGCGTTAACATGAACAAAGAGCTGCGTCACCCCTGTTTGCATAACCAAGATAGTTGATAAACGAAACCCGTCTCGATATTTACAAAGTCGCACTAAGGAGAAAGAAGTGTTAAAATTATTTATATAAAAAAAAAAAAGTGTCGAAATTCATACGACACCTGCCATCATAGCTGCATCGGTAGCTAGGTACAACATGTTTGAAGCGATACCCTGTCGTCGAGCAAACTTTGCGACACAAACATTTGCAATATATGCGTATTTATGTGTATTAAAGGGCTCTTGACTCGCCAAAACCGCGGACACTCTCTTTATTTCCTGCAAAATAAGAATATTTAGACCGAGCACCACGTAGTTTCCGATCTAGGAAGCTAAATCACGCATAAGTAGAAATATTATGCCAATATTTGAAATATGCAGCAGTTCACAATCTCAAAAGCGTACCCCGGGAAATATTTCCCCTTGCATGAATTGCCTGATACTTAAGTCTAACGTTCCCACTATACTGTTAAGTACCGTTCTTCTAACATTTTTATCTTCCTTTTTAATCTGCACCGTACAAAAACGAAATAATCAGCAGGCTAAAGGAAAAGGTTCATTAAAAACAGTTCCGACATCTATCGTGCTGTAACAACAAAGCTACGTGACACAAAAGTTACATCTAAACATGTACGCTGCCATGCAAAAGTTTCCGTTCACTTACTGCAACAAAACAAAAGCAGTTCAATGAATTTCCCTCCTGCGCAAAACACCTTCGCTTCAAACAATAGAATTCCTGCCAATACGAGAAAAATCAAGTTGAAAGTACTACATTGACGATGAATACATTATAAAGCTGCAAAGTACTGAAGGATCGGGTTTTTTTACAAAATTGCCATGAACTAAATCTCGAGAAAATGGATATTACTTATACAAGAAATAGTAACATAATGAAACATATTGGCAAGAGAAAATATATCGTAAAATCACTTGATGAAAAAACGATGAAAACTCTGAAGGCAGCTATATATCAGTGACAACTACACCGTAGATATAAAGGCCGAGCAATAAATATAGAGGTGCTAAAAAGAAAAACCTAGTAAACTGTATAACAAGTACTCTACGGCGACTCACCTCTTCAGCATACTTTCTTTTATGACTCTCAACATGCCTGAAAAATAAAAAGGTAACAAGATAAGCAATTAGCTTAAAAGGGTAATAATTATCTGACTTTGCACTCTGATACACGTGTCGATTGAGGCAAAATCAAGTCGAGAAAGAACTCAAATAGAGATTATTGACCTCATATAAGACAAGGGTTCCCAATGGGCTTCTGCTCTGAGCCATGCTGCTGTCTGCCATTGTAAGTCAGACATGGAGACAAGAAATCTGAAGTTCTTTTAGAAAAGAAAAAAAAAAGACGAAGAATATGCGAACCAAGAAATATGCATAACATGGTTTTAGATGCATCTAGATACAGTATTACAGTGAGAGAGAGAAAGAGCAAAACCAACCCAATATTCTTCATCCAGTATTGCCTGACGAGCAACAAAACGACCAAACTTTCGTCTTTGCAATCCGGTGCATTCTTTGTCAGTCAACTGCAGTCGGTCAAAGGCGAGTTCGGGCAGCTTTGAACTCTCGTTCTTTGGGAGAGGTAAATTTCGGATACTCTGGCCGTTATTGCAATGAACTTCAAGATTCTTCCCTCTGTAGTAATGAGCAGGGAGTGTCTCCCTATAGAGATTCGGGACCGGAATAAACATGTCAAGGTAAATCTCGGGCAATGAAATTTCGAAACATAATACGACCCATATACTACTTATTTAAAACGAACGACAAATATGCCGAACCCGAACTTGTGAAGCACCATATAAGCAAATTAATACCACCATAGATTCCAATTAAAATTTTGAAATCGGAGAACACTTTCCTTTGATAGCTAGCTCGCGCTTCACTTTTTCTGCTTGCCTAATTAATCAGGTATCAGGCAAAGAAAATTTGGTTTCCACTACAGCTTCATCTTTTTTTCTCTTTCCATTAATCAATTTGATTATAATTGTGTCTCTAACAAACATACCCTAAATTATTTGTATTAATCTGAACAATAATAGCATATAAAGATAAACCAATTACAGATAAACTAAATCACTTGAAAATTTACACACACACACACACACACACACACCAATATTCGCCTATAAATAAACCCCATGATTAACATCAAGACAAAATACACCCAAAAAAAAAAAGTTACCTAGTAAAAACTCCGACAACAGGTAGATAATCGTGCTTGACATAAGGAACGAAGGTCGTTTGCGGCTCCCGAACATCAAACTGCGGCAAGAAATTTCCCTTCAGCTCCATTTCTTATACCTGTTTTTTTTTTTTTTTCTTTTGGGGTTAATTTAAATTAAAATCAATGGGCGACGATCAAAACTTCGGTTATTACAAAAACGATGTCAAATCGAATCAGGATTTTGTGCAGATTTGATGTCGGATTCAGGAAAAAGTGGGAATCGAAGGAGAGAAGTGAGATTTGTGGGTGAATTAAAGGAAAAAAAAATTGGATCAGTCGTTTGAATAAAATATCCCACAAATAGTAATTTTAGGAGCGAGGGTGTTTTATCCGCACTTGGCTAAAGTGGGGCCCACATGTTTTTATTAAAGTCGCATTTTGGCTCCCCGCTTTTGTATTTTTGTTTTTGTTTTATTTTCTAAAGTCGCATTATGTAGCCTGCCCGCTTTTGTATTTTTGTTTTTTGTTTTATTTTCCAAGTGGTAAGTTATTACATTTTATTTATATGACCGGTTTTGGATTTCATTGAAGATATATATTTTGTCCTTTTTACGATTGTTAATCACATTTTTTCTTTTGAGAATAAAAGAGGGCGTAATAGCTGACTAATCGAGCGCTCTTGCGCCTAAGATGAACAGGATGAAACGATCTGCCAAAGCTGTGGAATGTAAAAATATATCAGTACCGGAGCGATATTATCATAGTATATATATAATCCGTTAATGCAAAAATAGTGTAATGAGAAATGACAAGTACATGATAATTAATTAATTAATTGATGATTTACATATATATATATATAAGTAATCAAGACTACATTACCAAATATTATTTATTATTATGTGAAAGAAACCCTAAAAGGCATCCAAATTAATATATTGACATCAATTACAATACCTCCAAGTAGTTGCAACATGCTAATTTATTATTACTACTAAATAAAAATCCAAAGTGTGGAACTAATAATAAAATAAAATAAAATAAGAAGTAATTGATTAATTAAGAACACTTGGGTGGTTTAGGGAGGATTTGTGTGCCTACGCAAGAGACTAGACAAGCTATGTTGGTGGCGCCGCAGCCTTGGTAGCACGCGAGGGCCCCCGTTCCTCCGCCGCTAATCCCACAATCAAACGCGCACGATATTGCATTCTGGCTGCACCTTACCATGCACTGCGCCACCTGCGATTGCGCCTCCGCTTGTTGCATTACCCCCGCCGCGACGCAGGCCACCACTACCGCAATAGCCAACTTTCTTGCCGCCGCCGAGAAATTTGAGCTAATTGGAAATACCATCAGTATTGATTTATTGTATCTCTCTCTCTTTAATTTTGTTCTTGGTTTTGGTTTTCTTTTTTACAAATGTTTGTCCGGTTTTATAACGTGCAAAAGATCCAATTAATTGTAAATATTTATTTAAAGAATAATTAAGGATATACATGTCACGTTTTCTATGCATTCCATAGTCCTAACTTTTGAAGTCAAGGTCCAAGCTAGTGTGTGACAAGCTAAAAGAAAAAAAAAAAGAAAAAAAAAAGGTGTTTTATTATATATATTCTTGTTTCAGATATGTTTCGTGTCCGACACTCGAGAAAACCTACCGGACACATGACAAGTCGTTTTGCAATTTATAAAAAAGTTAGAAACGTGCTTGAAATTTGAATAGTAAATTTTCAAATATTTAATTTTGTCGTTTCACTAATTGTTTACGTGATTTTTAATGATCAGTTGAAAATTGATAGTTGATAATAATATTTATTTTGAATACATTCGTATGAGAATATATAAAAATAAGCATATTTATAAACATAACTTGTACTTTTAATAATTACACGTTTCCTCCAAGATCTCGTATTACTATTTTTGAGAAATGCCGTTTCATCGTATCTGTTTTTCCGTTTTCTGGTATCGCCGTTTCCGTGTATGTGATGTATACTCACTAATGATTGAGTTGTTAGAGATTAAAATAAAAGATTTATTTTCTTTTTGGGAGGTTCACGAGAGTAGTGTGATGGTTTGTTATTTATTGTCCTTATATGTATCTATTTTATTTTTTTGTTATCACTTATCAAGAATGTTGGTTTTAGTGTTTGGAGCCTTCAACCTTTTGTTGCTTGATCAGATCAAAAGAGAAAATGTGATACGTCATGATGACATCATATAATGATCAAGCATGAAATACATGGGCTGAGTTGAATCGGAGTCGGGTACTCGGGTTAGGGTTTTTCAAATCAAGCAACTGAGGCCCATAATTTAGATCCAATTTAGGCCAAGAAATGTTGTAATATTGTTTGATCCAAGCCTTCAATAACAGTGTGAGAAAGGCCCAAATTGCGTCTCATGATTCGAACGGAATTTCTACCCTCCGTCGATTCCAATTTGAAAATATTCAAATATTTTTTTTTTCAATTTCTAATATTTCGATTTTTATTAATTATGTATTGTTAGACCAAAGTACCATCCCAGAGTTAATAATAGCAAAATCGGAAAATATGTAAGTAATACAGTATTGAAATTTTAAATTGACAATTAAAATGAAACAACTAAATTTCTTGAAAATACTGTGGAACATATGGAATATTATTTAATTAATTAATAATGCTGTGTTTAGTAGTACAATTATTCAAATGACAAAATAAAAACAAGGCAATAGTTATATATCAAGTTGTTCATGGAACTTTTATTTAATTTTATTGAATTAAGCAGCCTGATCAATAACCAACATAGACCAGTCTAATTAATTTCCATGACATACAAATTAAAAAAAAAAAAAAAAAAAAAAAAAGAAGATAGATAGATAGATTAATTAAGATTAATTAGTATGATTCACATGATTAATTAATTATATATATTAATTAATTAATGAGACGGCGAAACATATGGTTGCCCTGGGGATGAGGTGGCGGCGCAGGGGTGGGTCCCAGGCAAGAGGTAACACATCCAATATCTGTATTGCCACAGCTTTGGTAGCATGAGAACTTACCACCACACTCCGATGCACACGTCATCGCTTTCTGACCGCAGCCCATCAGGCACACCTCCACACCTTGCTTCAGCCCCTCCACCGCGTACTGCTGACTCATCATCACCACCACCACCGCCGCCACCACCACCACCGCCGCCATCATACCGCTTCGCCTCGCCGCCATTAAGTTTAATTTATATGTATAATAATAATATTGTATAACTCTCTGATGATCTGTGTGTTTTTTCGATTTGTCGACGATCTTCGTCTCGTTTATATAAGGGGTTGGTTCGTAATTAAATCGAGCTTTTTCGTCGTGAAATGCTGATGGTGTGATGTAGTTTGTTACGTTGCATTATATATATAGCTGAAAATATGAAGTTATTTCCGTTCACTAATTTTGCATGACACATATATATATAAGACTAATAAAATTTAATATATTCAGTTTTAAGATTTGTAATGTTATTTCTAAGATTTTTTATTTTTTTTGGTTTGTAACTATTTTTCAATTAAAAGGCTTCAAAGTTAATTTAAGAAAGAAAAATCACAATTTATTTAAAATATTGGATTTAATAGACTAAATAAAACTTAAGGTACTTCCGTAGATTAATTACTCTCAATAATAGCCAACAATTATTCCAATATTATCTCAATGGCGCACGTTAGAGTTCATCAGCATCTTCCCGGTCAACCCGCACGCCATAGCCTCAACCGGAATCCTCCCCACGCGGTCGACCCCCTCGGCGAAAATGACCCCCATGCCCATATGCAGGTGCGGTTCGATATGGCAATGGAACGCCCACACCCCGGGATTATCCGTCACAAACCTAAGTGCCGTCCACCCGAACGGGTACACAACCGCGGTGTTCTTCAGAGGCGGATCCCGCAAGTTGAACTTAGCCACATCTGTCTCCTCGTCAAACTTCCCCTCCCCGTACCCTAGCACCCAGAAATCGTGCCCGTGGAGGTGCCACGGGTGTATCTCGCTCACGTTCGCCTTTATCGCGTTCGCGTTCTGCAGGACCACGTCCACCGTCGTGCCGAATGTCAAATTGTAGACACCGCTCCCGTACGCGGAGTTCTGGTTGGCTGCAGGGACCGTCACGTCGTAGGTGTAATTGTATCTATCTGGAGGGGGATTTTGGTCAAACGCGCCGTTCAGGCCGTACCTACATTATTAATTAGCGGAGCCAGAATTTTATGTCCAGTGTCAGAAATGCTACAATACATACACAAAAAAAATAAATATAGGTGCATGCATGCATGCGTACGTACTTGATGGCCCCTAGGTAGGGGGTGGAGGGGAGGACTAGGGATACGTTGTTGATCGACCATCTCGTGTACCCGTCGATGAAGTTTTGTGTGTTCAAGAGTATGATTCTGCGGTCGGAGGTCGGAGGGGGCTGGGGGTTGGTGGGGCCCACGAGGCCGAGGAGTTTTTTGGTGAAGGATTTGCTGACGTCGTAGTCGTCCCACCGCGGGGCGACAGGCGGCGCGGAGGTAGGTAGGGTGGATATGTGGGTGTTGGGGTAGTGGAGTAGGGCTAGGGCTGGTGGGGTTTGGGGTTTTCTTCCCCTTACGTTGACCGAAATCCAGTAATTTTTCGAGGGGTCTTGATTTGTAGTGAAGAGGACTGAGTAGCTCTCGCCGGAGTATATGTCGAGGTTGTCCACCGTGAACGGCTGCACGTAGTTTCCGTCGGCTTCCACCACCACCATCTTGTGATTCTTTACATTCAACGAGACAACAAAAATTTGTTACAAGAGAACAAAAATTTAATTTAGAATTATCATCTAATTAAATATGTGTAGGGCTGCCAATCGGGCCGAGCCACAGGGCTTCGTTTAGGCCCGGCTCAATTGTCGGGCCTAATTATGTGTGATGTGAATTTTAAGGAAATAATTTGAATATGATCCTTAAAGAAAGAAGCCTTATCTATGATGCATTAGGTTCATTTATAGACTAGATATAGTATTTCACTATATATAGCTATATATAGTGAAATAAAGATTATAATTAAACATATTTTCGATATATATATTTGAGTTTATAAAAACAAAAGAGAGGTCAAAATATATTTTTGTCGTCTGCAATCTCTGCAAGAATATATTCTCCATGCCCACTATATATTATGACATAGCTAGTGGACTGACTCATAAGTCATAATAATTATAAAAAAAAAAAAAGTTAGATTTTGTTGATAATAATATTCTTAGATTTTTTTATATTCTTCGAATAAAATATAGCATAAACCCAATAATTCTCGGAATATATGACTCATGCTCCTTAAAATTCTCTCGAAGCTGCGTTATAAAGGATGCGAGACTATCGTAATTACATTTGTAAGGCCTCGTTTGGATGCCGAGTAAGATTAATCAGGATAAGATTAAATAATGTAATGACCCAATTATATTATTGGACCTTGGAAAATCCAATAAGAAACATCAATTAAAGTCCAGTTATTTAGTTAAGAGGGCCAGGTCCATTAAATTTATTAGGTATTTTTTTAAATATTTTTTGGTTAAAGATTAATTATAAAATAAACATTAGATTATTGGTTATCTAGGTTAATTAAATGCATATTATATATTGATTATAAATAAACTAGTGTGTAAAATTATTTATTTACCCCAATAGCTAAGTTGAGTGAAGCCAACGCAGTGGAGCTTGCTATCCTGAGCCGGTAAGTTTTGTTGGGGAGAACATGGAGGATCTCGGGCGCGTACTGCTCACCACCTCTTAACGTGCACGGGTTTTCTGTTGAATTGCTATATTGCGCTGCCAATGAGCAATTGAACTGCCCTCTCCCATTAATCAACAAGGTCTGACAAATATTAATTAATTAAATAATTATTAGAAAATTGACCCTAAGGTTTTGTTTGGCTGTCTTTTTCATTATTTAACTTTTCTCTTCATTTTGGGTAAAGAAAATTGATTAAAAGTAAATTTAGAAATCAGAAAAGAGTCTCACTTTTTTGAAACTTAAACATATGTAGCCTAGTTGAGCTGTATATATATATATATTGACTTTTATGGACATTAAATATTTTCGTAAATTACAAAAAACCCCTTGAACTTAGACTAAATAACAAAAAACACCCCCACACATCCGTAATAAGCAAACCCCCCTCTAATTAATTGTTGATCGAGTTTTTTTAACAGAAAATGTGTACAATATATTATACCTTATATTAAATAGGTGAGAAATAAAAGAAAATATCTGAAATTGTGTAAAGTATATTACGTGGAATAACAAAAAATCCGTGAAAAGTCACACCGTAAGGGGGTTAGTGTAAGACAGAAACATATTTCAGGGTTTTTTTGGTAATTAAGAATAGGTGGGGTGTTATTTGTGATTTAGACTAAGTTTTGGGGGTTTCCGTAATTTACCCTATATATTTTATGAAGGGTTTTATTTATTTATTATATTTTACCTGGGGCTCACCAATCCAACGCATGGGATTGGAGGAAAGATCAACCTCTTGTTCATGAGATGCCTTATGCCACCAATCAGTGAGCAGAATGTCGAACGCCCCGTTGTAGTGGATTATTTCCCTCTCTCCTTCTGCCACGTCGACAATCAGCGAACCGTACAACCCTGCTGATCTTTGCATCCCGTAGTGTCCATGGTAAAAGTATGTGCCCGCCTACACCGTATTATTTATTTATCAAGAAAAAAAGAAAATTATTTTATTATTTATTTCCAGCTAATAAACATAGTGTTTTTTTTTCCTGTAGTGCCCCATAATCGAAGAATAACATAATTAAAGTACAGACAAGTGAACAATAAAAAAATTCCTCCACTGTCCTTTTGTGTTTTTCTTTGTGGGGTTGTGAATAAATAAATAATATATATATATATATATATATATATATATATATATTTACTTTTCCTAACTAGACACATAAAATGGTACGATGGGATGTTATTGGTAATTAATACATACTCTATCCACCTAATAATAATAATATTTATTTTATATTAATCTTTTCATAATTAAATAAAAGGTGAGATAATTAAAAAAATAAAATAAAGGTGCTTTAATTAATATTAATAACCCCCAAAACAATTAAAATAATTAATATTACCTTGTCAACTTTAAAATTGTAGACAAATGTTTCTCCAGGATTAATAGCACATTGTGAAATAGACGCAGTCCCGTCTGCCCACGGCGTTCCGATCTGAAAATTTCCGATTTATAGAATAATTATAAAAAAATAGAAAAAATGAATAATAATGAAAATATATAATAAAATAAAGAAATAAAACCTGTCTGATTCCATGCCAGTGAATAACAACACCTTCAGTGGGAAGCTTGTTAGTGAGCTCAATATTAATGGTGTCGCCGGCCCGAGCCCGAATAGTTGGGCCCGGAAACTGCCCGTTGATTCCCATAACGACACTTTCAACGCCGTCTGGTGACCAATGCAAATACTCCACCTTCCATTTTAGATGCCTAGTTTTTGCACTATTTGCTGACTGCACAAATAAATTCGAAATAATATATGAGAGTAAAATGACCTTTATGACCTTCATCGACCATGGATTCACCAACAGTGCCATGCTGCTATATCTAGAGAGAGAGAGAGAGAGAGGAAGCTAGAGAGAGAGAGAGATGGAGATGATGATATATGAATATGGAGGCCTGTGGTTGGGGGTGTATATATAGATATATAGATATAGATATATATTATTTGTACATGCATTGGTTCACTGAGAGTGTGTGTGTGTGTGTGTGTAGGTCCTGATTACACACGTTTTATTTTACTTTTGAATGTTCCAAAATGTATATTTCTTTCTATAAATATATTTTATATATTTTTTTTTAATTAAAATTAGTGTTTTTAAAAATTTGAATTTGGGACCAAAGGAGGATAAATATCTATGTTCATGAAGGGTCATTTTCTTAATTTTGTATGTGGTGTGAAATAAAAGTCATTTGAAAGAAAGTATAAAGGTATGTGAAAGTGTGAAAAAGCTGTGAAGAAAACAACAAATCAATAATATGTGTACGTTAATTTGTTAGAAACATTTTTCACATGTACGTACATGTCTTCAATTTTAGCATTGAAAGTTTTTCTTTTGTTGGTCGGAGTTAGGGTTTTTGAGAGATGATTATTGAAAGAAAATGTGGATCTTTAATTTTGTGTATAATGTTTCGGTAGTGTGCCTTTCAAGCCTAATAATTTTCTCGATCAGATTACTTCTAAACGCCTCCTTTAGTGTTATCGTACGAGATGGGCCTTTAAATTGGGTCTAGCCTTTTCGGTGATCCAACTCGACCACTGATTCAGCCCATTTGCCCAAATTCACCTCCATCAAGCATAATCCAATAATCAATATACATTTTTTTGTAGAAATACATATCTTATATATAAAAAGAAGATATTTTGAACTATAACCCTAAACCTAAACCTAGGGGTATTTTAGACATTTTTATTTTGACAGTTTTTTTTCCTTTTACTTATATTAATTGTTTATTTTTTTTATTTTTTTTCGTACTTTCAATTTTTCTTTTCTCGGTGATTTTGGTTTTCTCTATTGTAATGAAAGTCTTTTTTTCTTTTTTTTCTTTTTGTTTTTTTAATTTAAAGGTTTCTTTTATTTTAAATTTTTAATGAAAGTGGTTGCCTATAGATAAGGAATTTTAAACGGGTGAAGTTTTTAGTGATTAGTGGATTCCTATTAATAAGGGATTAAATTGATTCCATAATTATCTTTAATTTTGGTGTTTTATTTTTTCTTATTTAATTGTCTCATAAATTACGGTAATAAAAATTGATTCCATTATTATATTTAATATTCGTGTTTTTTGTTTTCTTAACCAGTTGTCTCATAAATTATGTTAATAAATAATAAATAAATTAATTAAAATAAAACCGCCGACGATATAAATAAATTATTTGTGATTATTCCATATATACTTCCACATCTACCACTACCATCCTCCACTAATCATTTGGTTTATCATAAAAAAACTCACATAAAAAAGAAAAAAAACATCCTCTTACAAATAATTTACAGTTGTGAGTAAACTAGAGAAAAAGAAGAAGATGACAGAGGCGGTTAAAGGTGAAAATTAGGAAGAAAATTACATATCACACATTTTTTATCAAAGGTGAAAACAGTTGAATCTCGGTTCAATTTTGGAATACTTTTCTTCATTATGTACGTAATTTTGTATGATTATATTCGGTGTTTATTTTTTCCCTTTGTCCATAATTTTCAGGTTTTTGGAAGATTCCGCCATCATATACTAGAAGAAAAAACTCCTCCTCACAAATCATAAAGTAAAGGCTCAAGGTAACAACTTCTTAAATTTGGTCTCCATATTCAATACAATGGGTGGCGTTTTCAACTTTTTTTTTTAATTAATAATATTTATGATCATTGTTGTTTGTAGTAATCCAGGCATCTCCAACAATTGTCTTGAATAAATTTGTTTAGCTACGGAACCACATCTGGAATCCGTCGAAAGAGGTAATCTAATTTCATATATTATCATTTCGAAAAACAAATTGCAGATTTATGGCATTTGGTATATCTTGAATTAAAAGAGCAACCATTTGGCAGAAGAGTACGAAAAAACATCCGAGAATAAAAAGTAAGAAGAGATTCTCACAATTTCTCTGTCCGAAATTCATACAATTTATTCTCACTCTCTTGAATTTCCTTTTTTCCCTGTATTTTCATCTTTATGTAACCGGCCAAAAAAATGTACCCGTCTCTGTAAATGTATTTCTTTTTCCTCACAAATTTGCACTGTAGTTCTAATTCATTTAGCGGGGTTAGCTGTGCATATAGATTTAGGTAGAAATGTTTGAACCCATCGAACTGCTTTTACCCTCGTATGGTGGTGTTTCAGTTATTATTATTAAACAAGTCTGTAGATGTTTATTTAAATTACCTCACTATTTCTGTGTTTTTTGTTGTAGCAGCGTTTTTTCACTTTCTCGGAGAAACATAATCTCCCACTTAGCAACGCAAGTCTACTCAACAGTTAAAATTTTTCTAAGAGATTAGAAACAATTCTCTCATATGTTAACCCCTCAAATCATAAGAAAAATGAGATGTGATACAAAGAAATCTGGGGTCGGGCTGAATAGCCGAAGTCCTCTTTCGTGATCCCGGGTACCTCATGACTCAGGGGTGAGTTTTTTTTTTGTGATTTCTTCTTTTATTTTCGTGTCTCCATAAATTGAGTTACAAGATTCTTGCATTTCGTATATGTCGCGTGCATCGCAAGGGGACCTTGGACATGACCTAAATGACTTCCACTCAACAACTTAAGAAAAATGATTCATAGAACTTATGTCTAAATTTCATGACTGATTCTTATTTCTGCAATGCAGTTGCTGGGGCCATGAGTATTACTATATTGTTGCTCTACTATGAGATTTTTGTCATTTTAGAACTTCGTTGATGA